TTTAGGGTTTAGGGCTTAGGGTGACAGCACGCCTTGTTCCTTTAGACAATACCGTGCGAGCCCCTGGCCACTGTGGGAGCATCAAAGCAAACCATATACAGTCTTCAATGCCCTCTTCGCCTGAACAGCGCAAAAAAAACATATTGCAACACGCGGACATGATTCTCCAGGCACCTGTACGACTTCTTCAGCTTACAGGGTGCAAAATGATTTAGGCAAACCCCAGACCTTAAACTAATTGATCATTAACCCTCTGAGCCAGTCGGGTGGCAAAACCACTGAAGTATAAGTCCACAATGTCTTAAACTCGCAGCCCGACTTTCACACCATCACGATGGGCTAGTATACCAAGCAAGACGGCAAGAACACGGCAAGGGCACCACAGCGCAAACAGTGTTTTCGTTCTGTGGGGTTACTCTTTGACGGACTATGACGGCATGATAATCGGGATCAAGAATCCCCATATCATCCTTAATAGGCTTCTCAATGATTCGTTCTCGTATGAGCCCATATATGCTGAGGACCCCTATTGTTCAAAGGCATTAGTTAGCTCTGTAGACTGGAAATATCTATATGCACTAACAGGCCTGGCCCCCGCCACACAAGGCACCTTTCATTCTGCTTCGTACGCGCTGCTATGACAAATTACAACTCTTTCACGAACTTAAACACCCAAGTTCTTCCTTAGACCTCAATCTCTAATCCACGAATCCCAAGCTCTAAACCCTGAACTCCAAGCCCTAAAATCCAAACCCCCAAAATCCCAAACTCTACACCCTAAACTCTGAGCCCGAAACTCCAAACCGGACAAATACCCAAACTCTCAGCCCTAAACTCCAAAGCCCAAAATGTTAGCCCTAAACTCCAAGCCCCCAAAATCCTCCTAAATCCCAAGCCCCCAAAATCAAAATCCCAAACTCTAAGCCCGCCCAAACTCCATACCCTAAACAAAATATTTCCTTAAGCGTCTTCTCCTCTTCTGCAGCCTGCTGTGCCGGCGAGGGTAGCAGAGCCAGGCCCAAGGCCAAGAAGTAGAAGTTGAGCGGGCCGTAGTTGCCTTTTTGGTTAGGGTTTTTAGGGCTCAGGGTTTTTAGGGCTTATGGTTTTTAGGGCTAAGGGTTTAGGGTTTAGAGGTTTAGGGTTTAGTTTAGGGTATTTAATATAGGGGATGGTGGAAAAGAAAATGGAAAGTATCCTAATGGGGTTATATCGGATTTAGGGATTTCGGGTTTTTAGGGCTTAGCGTTTAGGGATTCAGTAATGGAAAGGAAATCGGAAGCTACAATTAGCTTCAGAGTTTAGTGTATCTTCAGCCTCGTAGCGGTTTATTTCAAGTACTGAAAGCTTGGGGCATGATTCAAGGGTTTAGGGTGTAAATAATTAGGGTTTGGGGTATACGGCTTTAAGGTTGAAAATTTCAGATTTAGGAAAATGGGGCCACAAGTTCAAAGTTTACTCCGCCGCGGGATGTTGCAGGTCTAAGGTAAGGGTGCACAGATATCAAACACTCCGACCACCTTCCTTGAGCATTCCCCATGAGAGGCCTTCAGGCGGGCATATTTACTGTCGGGGGGCAGAACTTGTTTAATATCGGTCCAAGATTTAGTGTTCCTGGGTTCAGTCCGTTTTTAGGCCGATTCTTTTTTGACATTTCATGGTTTAGGTGGTTGCGCGACGGCTCCTAGATGGTATTGGTTTATGGTTTAGGGTTCAAGGGCTGCTTGAAGGCTAGTATTCCCCTTCCCCTGAACACTCCCTGCCCTATCAATGACAAATATTTTCAGAGGGAATATCATTCCTAGCGGGGCTTTGGCGTTTCAGTTTCGGCTGCTTATTGGACAATACTTCAAAAAACCTCAAATAACTTCAGTTTAGGAATGCTTGCTACATAAACCACCATGTGGGAGTTTGGGAGATAGTAGTGGTTTCGGATTTGCACAGAAACCAAATGATCATTCAACATGGAAATAGGACATCCAACAAGCCACGTCTGGCTAGAGCCTGACCCTGCTTGTACTTTGCGGCCCCTAAACCCTAAACCTAGGAATTGGGCATCATATGAGCTACAATCTAAACTCCTGGTATCCTCCCCCTAAGTAGTCCACTATGTAATCCCCTATATAAGCCCCCTCAAGGAGTTTAGATTATGGCTCATCTAGTTCCAAACTTGGACTTTGTAACTTTAACCTAACCCCTGCTAGCCAACGGGCCAAGTAAGCAGCCAATCAATACTTGCTCGCATCCTCTCAACCCGACTTCTGTGCGCTGCAGGTGCCGCATGTGCCGGATATGCAGGATTTGTACAGGGTGCCAATCACATCCCAGAATCGTGAGGCCCCTCACGGGTCGGCCAGGCTGGAGCATCCGCCGGCTCGAGCCTGTCAGTCTCCAGCGCAGGGCTCTCGACCTGGCAGCAAGGCCATGGGCCAACTCCTTCCAGGCAGCTGGCCCCCATCCTCCACCACAACCATCGGGACAAACTGCAGCGCAGCAGCCTGGCAGGCCCGCTCAATGTGCTGGTAAGCACGCTTCCGCGCCTCGTAGTCGGACACGGAGCGGCTGCCCTCTGTGATGGTGGCCAGAAGTAGAAGTGACTGCCAGGTCGAAGGCCGCTGCGCCATGCAGGGACCACTGCGGCACCCAAACGTCTACTGGCCGGTGGCCTGCTGCCACTGCCGTCGCGCCGCCATCCTCAGGCCAGCCCTGGTTTCTCATCTTCAGGGCTGAGGCCCACTGCCTTGGCTCGGGCAGCAAGGATGGCACGCAACCAGTTGTGGCGCTTGGCACAAGGGCACACCCGCGGATGGTCACCCATTCGGAATGGTAATTGGTCGCATCACACAGCAGGCAAGCCGAGTCGGCTGCAGCAATAGGCATCCCGAGACGCATGAGGACCATGATGCGAAAGAGGGTCGGTGTCACGTGAAGCCCGAGGCATTCTGCAAGGAGGTGCATGTAGCCAAGCGCCAGCCCGCGGCTGTTGCAGTAGTTGAAGGTGCGCCCGATAGGCTTCCAGCAGCGCCAAGATGGCTGAGTGTGACTCGGTCCAGTGCCTGCGACAACTGCTGTTGCCGAGGAGGAGAAGGCACAGGCACAGGGGCAGAGACGCGGTCAGCTTCCGGCACGTCCTGGTTGTAGGCCGCTAGCACATTGTCGAGGCAAGGGCAATAGGCGGGGTCCAGTTCCTTGCAGAGGTCCATGGTGGCAATCACTGAGGCCAAGTAGGCGGCGCTGCGCCGAGCAGCCCGGCGAAGCCTCAAGCCGCCCATGCTGGTTGGGAGGGAGGCTTGCTCCCAAGCTTCCGGTGAGAGTGGTGTACTGGCCTCCAAGGCCGCTCGTACCTGGTCATCACACCCTTGCGGCGGGGTGAAGAGATGGCGGTGTCACCCGACTGCTATAAACCACCTTGCAGTAGGAGGCGAAGGAGCAGCACAGCAGTTTGCGGGTCCTGTAGCTCCCCAAGAGCAGTGAGCAGTGGCTCGCTGGCCTCAACCCGCTTGGTCATGGTGTGGTGTTCGCAGAATGCCCTGTTGCCAACAGCAGCGCCCAGCAAGGTGAAGGCCCCGGAGCGGTTAAGCGGCATGCCTGCTGCAGGGAACAAGTGCCTGTCGAACAGTCCGTCATCGCTGCAGGTAGTGAGGCAGCACTTGCCAGGGTTGAGGTCGAGCCCGACTTGTCTGGCCGCCGTCAGCCTGGCCAGGGCCGCGCTGACCTCCCGAACTCCTCCAGCAAGGCCGATCATCAAGAAACTCAAAGACCGTGTCAGGGCGCTGTCCTGGGGGGCCAGCAGCAACAGCCCGCAGAGCCGGTTGGAGGGCGATTGCCAAGAGCAAAGGCCCGAGCGGGTCGCCCTGTTGGACCCCAGCTTCTGAGGGGAGCGGCGTCCCGTCGAAGAGGAGACGGCTGTGATGGCCATAGCACCATTCTGCGTATGGGGCCAGCCCCGGCAGTCGCAGGCGGGCCTCTCTGAGCAACGTGGCTCTGTCGACGCTGTTGAAGGCATGGCAAAGTTACTGGTTCCTCTTTAAATAAGGAATAAGGGAATATGTTGCATAGCGACTATGCGAGGATTGTATTCCCTAATCCCCTACTCACCACCAGTAAGTTCAGGTTTGTAACGTTTGTGTTTGAGAGTTCCAAGCACCTAAATGAAGGGCTGTGTTCCGTGGCTCAAGGCTCAAACCCAAGAAAGACCCTAAACCCTAGACCCTAAACCCTGAGACGCTAACACCCTACATCCTAGACCCTATGCCCTAAAGCCCCAAACTCTAAACCCTAAAACCCCTAAACCAACATTTGTTGGGGGCTTCGGGATATTCAGGTCTGGTTCAATATTCCCTCGGTGTGAAGTGATGTCGCTAGAGCACGCTGCTACAGCCGGGCTCTGGGCTTAAATCCTACCGCACCCTAAACCCTAACCCTAAACCCAAGCAAGGTTTAGAGTTTTTCGGGTTGAGGGCTTTTGGGGCGTAACGGCTTTTGGAGATTTAGGGTTCAGGGTTAGGTTTTTGTTGGGGGGGGTTTAGGGACCCCTAAACCCTAAACTGCGTTTAAGGGTTAGGGATTTTGGGGGCTTAGAGTTTTTGGCTTTTGGGGATTGCGGGGTTCAGGATTTCACCCCCCAGGGTTGAAGGTCTAAGGGGCTCCGTGGGCCGCAGTTGCTGGACAGGAGCTGAAGTGCCCTTGTGACATGTGTCCTTCCCTGAATCAGGGTCCCATTTTGGTACCCCTAAATAAGAGGCGCCGAAATACAATCCTTCACCAAAGGGGGCCCATAATTTTGGGAACTACCCACATGAGTTTAGGGGTTGGGGCCTAAATTCCTAGTATCCCCCTAAATAACCCTCATAGTATAGGTTTAGGGTTTAGAGTCTAAACTCCCAGTGTCCCCCTTCATAACCCTTATAGAAGTCTCCTACATAATCCCCAAAACAAGCCCCTGTAAGGAGTTTAGACTATAGATGACGGTGTTATGATCCCTGTTTCACGCTTAGGGTTGCCGAATCGTAGCAAAATAATGGGATTTGAGGCAGGGCCGCTGACTTTCCCGGCCCCGAACAGGTTAACCTTCTATCTTACATGATTCATATGAGGTGGTCTGCATCACACAAGTTTCGGTGCAGGTGTGTAGGTGCAAAACCCCTGAAGGCCAACGACTTGTTTATATGGTAAGTTATGAATTCCGGGCTCCAACCTCTTAATATTCAAGTTGCAAAAACGAGGACCATACCCTTCAAATATCCTACTATATGTATGTTGCTCAACATGTTCCCCGTAGATTTCACAAGTAGAGGGGCTATAATCCGTGCCTGAGCCCACATATACCTAGTTACCCCAAGGGCACGTTTGAGAGAAACAATGCATTTTCTCCATCTTGACTTCTTCCAGTCTTCATGTTCCTATCCTAAACTCCAAATCCTCAACTCTAAGCCCTAAACCCTGAATCCTAAACCCTAAACTCCAACCCTAAACACTAAACCCTCTGTTTCATGGCAAGCTGCCGCTGGCTAAGATGCCCAGCTGAAGCAAGCTGCTCCTGGTTGAGCCAAGTGGTCAACTATTAGCAGGGGAGCAGGGTTTAGGGTTCAGGGTTCAGATTTCAGGGTTTAGGGCTAAGAGTTTCGGGTTTAGGTTCAGGGTTGAACTTTAAGAGCGCCCCTATACCTCAAAGGGGGATGCACCCCTGAACCCTAAACTCTATGATGTACACCTAGCTTCCCTGCAAACCCATGCCCCTCACCTCATTGTAAATCTGGTAGTTTACAAGTTGAACGTAGGTTATAGTCACCCTTAAGCAGATAGAACACAAAAATCCGCCAGAGTCATAATAAGAACCCCATATACCGCATATTCTATGGACTTAAAGGGGGGCTATAGGACCCCCTAACCCTAAACCTTGAACCCTAAACCCTTAAAACTCTAGACCCTTAGACCCTAACCCAAACCCAAAACCCCGCACCAATAAGCAGCCCACTCTGCGTGTGTCACAGTGCTGGTAACTGGAACCTTGTAACTCGTCCCAACAGTGAACCTCCTCACTCCCCAATGGTCAACATCCCCCCCCCTATATCACAACATTGTATATACATTGTGCTGGTTGGGGGGGGGGTGTATTGCTTATAATGGGATGGCGAGGGTTATGTGTGATTATGGGGTTCCACAATGCCATGCTGCTCGTAATGCATTGTATTTGTTCGTCATAGCGGAATTTCTGTAACAAGGGGAATTCAGTTACGGCAGTCCCTAAAAATTGTACTCATATAGAGGTTTGGGTAACTCGGATCCTGAAAAATGAGCCGCAAACCGCAAACCCTAAATTCTGGAATATGAGGCCCCCTGAAGCTTAAACCCTAAACCCCACTTAGCTGGTAAGCACCTCTCCGGGTTTACTTGGAGGGTCAGGGGGACTTACTAAGTAGGTTGATAACCCGTATAGCCATATAATGATCCCCCATTATCCTCATGAGCAACCTACTTACTATGTCCCCCTGGCCCCTGACCCTCCAAGTAGGGTTTAGGGTCTAGGATTTTAAGGCTTGCTTGGAAGACATTTTGTAAGCCTATCTACTGCCTCTGAGAACCCTTGCGATTAGCCCAATGCTCCCTCTTGCTAAGCAAAGCCAAGAGAACCTCCACATGAAAGTTAAACCCTGACAGTTAGCTGGACAGTCAAGTGTTTGGCATGCCATTTGGGGATTTGGCAGTTCGTGCTTCTTCATTATAGGCTCCAAAAGGGTACTACATTCGAGGTCCGGCTAAACACTCCACCTGAAATCCTGAACCCCAAATCCTAAACCGCAAGCCCTACATCTTAAACGCTGACAAACCAAAATGCAAGCCCAAAGCTCAAAACCCTAATCCCTAGACCCCAACCCGTAAACCAAAATCCCCGAACCCCAAACCCCCTAAACCCCGATCACTCAACCCCCCTAACCCTAAACCCTAATCCCTGAACCCTATGCCCCCTATAGTCCCCCTTTAAGCAGATAGAATATAGGGTATATGAAGATCTTATGAGGGTATACCCAAACCATATTCCATCTACTTAAGGGGGAATCCCAATCCCTAAACCCGAAACCCTGGACCCCCAAAATCTGTTATCTACTTAAGGTGGACTGTAGATCCTAGAAGCCGAGATTCCCTGCCAGCCCCATCATTCTCAATCCCTTGTTCGGCGAGAAGAACAGGAAGGGCGCCACAAGCTCTATGGCCAGAGCGCTGGCCTCGGGTTTAAGGGTTTAGGGTTGTGGGGTTTAGGGGTTAGGGTTTGGGGTTTAGGGTTCGGGGCTTAGGGTTTAAGATTTAGGGTTTTGGGATTAGGGTTTTTGTCGCTTGCATGGCCATACAGCATCGCAAGGTGGAAAGCCGGGTTCGACTAAAGCATCCCGTGACGGAGACTTTCAAGGGCTTAGGGTTTTATGGTTTGGGGGTTTGGGGTGATTTGCTGGGTTGCTGATAAGGAAGCTAAATTACGTAAGTTACCATAATATGGGTACATAGTAAACAATAAGGCTTCCTTATTGCACCCTAAACCCTAAACCCTAGATCATTAAGTTACCATAATATGGGTACAGAGTAAACCATTAAGGTTTCCTTATTGCACCCTAAACCCTAAACCCTAAACCCTAGATAATTAAGTTACCATAATATGGGTACATCGTAAACAATTAAGGTTTCCTTATTGCAGTATCTTACTCCAAGTTTCTTAATTGCAGCCCGGCTTAGGGATGATCAGGGTTCATGATTTAAGGTTTGGGGCTTTAGGGTTTAGGGTTTAGGGGTTTAGGGTTTTAGGGTTTAGGGTTTAGGGTTTAGGGGGTGAATCTACGCAGTGAGGCTCATGCGTGGCTCACAATGGCTTTCACTTCTGGCATGTGCAATGTAGGGAGGAGGATTTGACGTACTCCCTTGGAATTGCTTCTAGAAAGCGCACATGGACCGCATTCGTGATGCCTGTTTGAAGGAAGTGAACAATTATGCTGAAAGACTTTCCAAGCCACCTTGCCAAACCAACGGGCGAACGAGATTTGCGGGATGCCCCCTCAATCTTTCGTTTGGATTGTGCCGGGTAGGTATCGGACATGTGGTTCCCCCAAAAAAAAGGGAGGCTCAAAATATATACCCAAAGTAAAATATTCTTATCACAGGGACCCCCGAAAAGGGACCCCCAATCTTTTTGAAACCTCACATATACGTATGGAAACCCTTGCTGCAGAGACTAGAAGCCCTTTATCTCCTTACCTCAGATTGGGGACCCGAAGCCCCCCAGCCGTTTAAGGTTTAATAGTCCCTTTGAGTAGATAGAATATGGGGGTATATGAGGGATCTTTTTATAATATACTCAACACCATATTCTATCTACTTAAGGGGGGCCATAAGGCTTTTTTGGGTTCCTTGGTCCCCCAAATCATTTGGCCTTGGTCCCCCAAATCATTTAGCCTTGTTCTATGACTAGGATTCATAGACCCGAAAAAGTTCAAGATTTGTTTTACCAGGAAAGCACTGAATCTACAAAATCCCCAAGCTTCAAACTTGAAAACCTGGAAGCTGTGCACACAAGAGCTGAGCAGCGGTGGCCATATGCCCCAAAAAAGGGTAGCCTCAGCTTTAGTAGATCCGGGCATATATACAAGCATACAAGGATAGCTGCGTGGGTGTTTGCGTGCAGGAACAGATATACATCTAGGGTCCTCAAGAACAAATGGGGTTCTCGCAAGTATATTATGAGCCGAGACGCTAGTGATGTCTTTAATACTCCATATAGAAACTGACTTTGGCTTGAGAGTTTTCCTGTGCAGAGAGAGAGGTGAGAAGGATTGCAAGATGTTTTTGGTGTATAGTCCCCCTTAAGTAGATCGAATATGGCGTTGTATATTATAATAAGATCCCCATATACCCCATATTCTATCCACTTAG